CGTTAATTTTTCATTTTCCATGACTTGCCATCAACGAGGGAATGACTTACCTAAAATGACTATAAAAAATGGTTTCACTCTTTGATCAGGAAGCTCAGAACACTAACTATGAAGTTAGTAATGGTTTCAGTATTATTGCAAGTCATAATGGAAATGATTTGCACTATGGTAGAGAGAAAAAGAAAAAGCTCAAGAATTGTTAATTAACTTCTCTGTTTCTCCACAAATGGTAGGAGTATTAAAAACAAGATTGCTGAAGTGCAAACATCAGGATTTAATGAACAATGGGATGTAATTGAAGTAACAGAGAATGACTTAATCGGGACAGTGGGTTGTTTAATTACGGGGCTAATGGATCTTCTGCAAGGACAAACTAAATGGAACAGAAGAAGCCAGCACTGGCAGGCAGAGCACTGTTAAAGGAAGTGTACCAGTAAGAAACTCCTGGTAGAGACACTTAGGGCTCTGTTATATATTTCATTAAACGTAATTGTCCCAAAATGGTAACTGCTAGAGAAAGAGACAGACGGGGCTAGGCTGGCATAAATCAAACTGGAGGCATTAATATTTCTGCAGGCATGTACTTGTGTTTTTTCAAGAATTTCTAATAATCTTGAAAACTTTCTTTAGATATTTTTTTCAGAACACTGTTTTCCAGGGTGCCAAGATGCTACCTCTCAGATACAGCAGATTGGCAAGCTCATTTTCTGAGTTTAAGAGTTCAAAAAACCATTTCACACCTAACTTTGATTACAAGTCAACTTCCTCTTGCTAATTCAGCATGCTTGCTACGAGTTACTGGTTTTCCTCATCTCCTCCTGAAAGTGAAGCAAACGTCCCTTCTCCCACGTGCAATCCTCAAACTTTCACTAACTCCTCCAAAGTTCCACTCTTGACAAAATGCAAGCTGAATGAGTCTGAGATTCTCCATCAACAAAATCAAACATGTTCAAAATTTTGCAAAGGTGAAAAAAACCCAGCAGGGCAATAGGTCTTATTCTCGGCCGGATGCAGTGGCTCACACCTGTAATCCCAGAACTTTGGGAGGACAAGGCAGGTAGATCACTTGAGGCCAGGAGTTCAAAACCAGGCTAGCCAACATGGCGAAAACCAGTTTCTACTAAAAATACAAGCATCACGGCTGGGCGCGGTGGCTCAAGCCTGTAATCCCAGCACTTTGGGAGGCCGAGACGGGCGGATCATGAGGTCAGGAGATCGAGACCATCCTGGCTAACATGGTGAAACCCCCGTCTCTACTAAAATACAAAAATCTAGCCGGGCGAGGTGGCGGGTGCCTGTAGTCCCAGCTACTCGGGAGGCTGAGGCAGGAGAATGGCGTGAACCCGGGAGGCGGAGCTTGCAGTGAGCTGAGATCTGGCCATTGCACTCCAGCCTGGGCAGCAGAGCGAGACTCCGTCTCAAAAAAAAAAAAAAAATACAAGCATCACCCCAGCATGGTGGCAGGTGCCTATAATCCCAGGTACTTGGGAGGCTGAGGCAGGAGAATCGCTTGAACCCAGGAGGCGGAGGTTGCAGTGAGCCGAGACTGCACCACTGCACTCCAGTCCGTGCTACAGAGTGATACTCCGTCTTAAAAAAAAAAAAAAAAAAAAATTGGTCTCTCTTACGGCTGTCCGACCTGAATTCCTAGATATTAAGGAAAGACTAAAGTCCTGTGTGTGCACAGCCCTACCCCTGGCGCTGACATTAGGGAGGATGCAGATATCAGGGCATTCTGTCTCACTGTTGCCTCATTAAACACCAGCCTGGAATGCTTTGATAGAGAAGGATGGTTTCTTATGGTCCTGAAGGAAGCATGGCTCTAGGGGACTTGGCTTGGATTTTTGGCAAGACAGAGGAATTTTCTTCTCAATATGCAAGAACACAGAATTACTTCCCAGGGCCCATTTGTTAGTATCATGATTTCGTGTGTGAGAAATTGGCAAGATGCCTTTATGTTCTAGAAAACCCCCCATACCTCGGGGAGAACACATCCTCATCTGAGAGGTGTGAAAGCTAACTTTTAGGTTGCTATATGAGGTGCTGCGCTTCTGAGCATTTAGCTGAACACGAGTTTGGGAGCCTTTTTTCCAAACGTGTCCCTGCCTTGGCACCAGGTTCTGTCATTTCAAGAGGTTCGTGAGGACGCTCTTGATTTCTGACTTTCCTTTCCTTGAAAGAATCTGCCCCCAACCTCCCCCCTCCCTAGCATACATGGACACACAAAATCAGTCTGTTCACCACACCTTAGTTTTCAATGACATAAACCACCTCAGGCAAATTTGGGAAATCAAGTCCTAAAACAGCTGGGTGTACATGCTTGGGAGGGGCAGGTGGGGGAAGTGAAAAAGAGGGGGAGGAGGGAAGGGAGGAAGAAAGAAAATTAGAAATATGGTGGTTCAGGCTGGGGGAAATGCCTGAAAGGAAATGAAAAACTTAAATTTTTATATTGACCTTCTGCTAACAGTTTGTCACACAAGCACAGACAGATCATGTGCCTTCTCTGTAGCTTCTGGTACAACCGCCCACCATGAAAGGGGGGCTGGGCCAGGCTCCATAAGAGGTACTAACCATTTTTAACGGCAAGGCCCCTAAGAACAAGTGGCCCATTCCTTTTTCAAGGCTCAACTCTGTACTGACAAATCTGAATTTGAAAAGGAAGATTTATGTGGATTTCTGAAATCGTGATTTTCCATTACCCTTTTCCCCAGGGGCTATAAGGAAAAATTTCAAGAGTCTGACATGAATTTCTTCAGCATCAAGTAACATTTTGATGATGAGTTGAGTGTTAACAAATCAGAAACACATGGTCTTAATTGACTGTGAAATAAATAATGTTTCAAAATGAAAGGGAGAAAACACGTTCAGATGTAAAGCATTAAAAAGGCTTCAAAACCTCAAAAGTTGCCTCAGGCATCTAACTTCTTTCTGATTCCAACCCCGTCTTCTCCTTTCCTGTCCTTCCTGTTCCAACCCCGTCTTCTCCTTTCCTGTCCTTCCTGTTTGGGTCCAATAGTATCTTGAGACTGAAATACTGGAGGATTCCCCTGACTGTATTCATTTGCAAATATTTCTCTTTGGGGATCTTTGGGGCTTCTAAAATGTCTTAAAGTAAAAGCACAAACATCTTCTAGGTTGGGAATAACAAGCCCAGGATCAGTGAAAGGTGAGTCAACAGGCCCTGTGCAAAGTTTATCTTGTTCTCCAAGATACCCAGTGGTGTCCAGGCTGAACACACATCAGAGTTGTCTGGAAGGTTTGCAAAATATATCCATGCCCGGGCTCCCTCCCCAGAGATTCTGATTCAGTCAGTCCTGAGGGAAAGCCCAGGCACTGGTATATTTGGACCTGCAGTTTAAACAAGGGTTCAATGAGATCTGGATCAAATGGAATAAAGTTTTAGGTAGCACTCATGTGCCAGGCACTGTTCTAAGTGCTTTTTATAAGACTGACTCTTAATCCTCAAAACACCTCATGAGATGGGTGGGAACCATGACCATCATTTCCATTTCACATGTGAGGAGAATGAGGCACAGAGAGGTTTAGAAACTTGCCCAACATTACACAGCTAACCAGTGGCAGAGGCAGGATTCCAACCTGTCTGGCCCCAGAGTCCACACTGTTAACCACTCTACCGAGAGTTGTCAAGCAGCATCTGCAGCATCAGGAAGCTGGTTAGAGAAGTGAATTCTTGGGCCATAGCCTAGATTTACTGCATCAGAAACTCCAGCATGCTGCCTAGCGACTGGTGTTTAGCGAGTTTTTTGGGAGATTCTGCTAGATGCTCAAGTTTGAGAACCACTGCAGCCCACTGTCCGGCCTCTCAGATGCGGATGGGTATATTAACACAATTCAGAACGCTGAGAAGTGTTGACTTTCAGCTCAGCTTCCCGCTCTCGGATGGCAGTCGTGCATGGCGCCATCTTCAATGGAGGGGTGAGCCGCATCTGGCAGTGGCAGAAAACTTGAAACAGCTGACCTACGGACTATTCTCCCACCAGAGGACATAACCATAACACAATCCGCGGCAAAGTGGTGCCTTCTCCAATTAGGGAACGAATTCTTCCCGGATGACACTGCAGTCCCCACCATCCAGAGCGAAGCCACAGGAGACTCAGCTCTCTTAATGAGCAATTCCCAAACCCCACTGTAATCTTTTCCTCCTCCACTAACGAGATCGTGAAGAAGCCCAGAATCTTCATAAAGCTAAAGATCAAAGCAAAACACAGCAGTCTCTTCTCCAAGTCTCTATTAACAGAAAAGCATAGAAAATTCCTAATTCTGAAGTTCCTTTCCCTGCTTGGCTCCCTCTCTGAAATTCCCGAATGTGCCCCAAATTGGGCTTTTTTTCTTTAGGAAGGGCATGGGGTGGGTGCGGTGGGGATGAATTAAAAAGAAGTTCTCAAACGGGTGAAACCCTCCAGCAGCTAGGCAATCATCTTCCTGTAGTGATTTACAGCGTCCCTCTAAAAATATCTATGAGATCACAGTACATTAAGTGCATGACACCAAACATTTGTAACTAATCCATGAAAATAAAGTAAAGGCGTCACGTTGTATGGGGAACGCAGTGGAATTTGTCTTGTGTTATCGTTCTAAAATAAGACGGCCTCAATTTGGTTGAAATATATCTTCACACATTGTCTTCCCAGAGCACAGCCATTTGAGAAATTCTGATTGCAATTATAAGTGCTGAATAGGGAGTACTTTGCATTTCCTTTGACGACACTGAAAGCTATAAGCAATCCTGATATTAAAATCTTTGGAAATTGATGAGTACCCCAGGCATCATTACAATACTTTCTACCCCAATCTCAGTAATTAAAATCTATTATGTGAACGCATGTTAATATTTTTATCAACTGTTTTTAATTAACTAAACACACAGGGCCTCCTGCAGTAGAAATGATACCATTTCATTGTAAGTGACCCACCCCCACCCTCTAATTCCCTGCCAGATTTATTTGGGAGTCTGGCTGGGAGCTTTATGGAAAACATACCACAGTACTGAATTCTGGAACCTGCCACAGCAGCCAGTCTTCATTAAGTGTGTACAGAGCTTTGCAAGTGATTACATCCACGGGACCCTTGTTAATTTTCTGGTTCAGAGTCGTCACCAGCAAATAGAAGGGCTCTCCAACAGTCTCCTTGGAAAAGACACGAAAGTGACAGTTAGCTTTCTGTGGAATCCACTGTACTTTCCAAAGAATTAAAGTTTCTGTTGATGGCAGTAAGGCAGGAGACAGGAGGCAGGGTTTTCTAACACAAAACTCCCAAGAAAATACATGTTGCTCTGCTTGGGACTGGATGCAAAACTCAGAAAACCGCCTCCTCTCTCCATCGCGAATGCACGTGTGCACATTCACAGCAATGTGCGGTACCCACAGTATCCCTTGTTATTTTATGTTTAAACTTACATATGGCAGACTAATGCTCATCAGTGGGTTAATGCCTAGGAACAGTTAGTAGATGTGGAGAGTGTACCTTTGTTTACATTCGTATTTAATCGCCCTTTAGCAAGCCAGAAATAAACGACATTTTTAAAAAAATGCACAATTATCCTTAGTAACAAGGATAGATGTAAGAACTTTTATACATTTGCCAAAGACAATGTTTTTTGGTGTTAACAGCACTTCTTGAAGGAAGCGGCCTGCCGTCCAATAGTTTGCAGCCTCATCTCCTCCCCATGGGTCCAGCCCAGCCCAGGCAGTTCCCAGACACACCCTGCACAGTCCCACCTGGACACGTTTTCCGGTGCTGGGTCAGAGGGACTCCATCTTTTTCCCTGAACCAGAGCCAATTCCATTTCCTTTAAGGTTTTTCCCCAAACACTCAGCCCATCCTGATTGGCTCTTTCTTCACATTTAAGCCACACGCATTTTTCCTGTCTGGGGGTGGGACTGCCTCCCCTGCTGCGATGGAAATGGCTCACATTTGCAACCACGGATATCTGTATTCCAAAGGGCTCTGAGCACCTCAAGTGGGAAGCTGTGTGTTCTCTTTCCACGGCATGCTCCCAAGGCACGTCAGCTGTAGAGTATTTGCTAAATAACGAACCTTCCATAATCAATGGACATTAGGCCTCTGTGGTGGAGGAAGAACCGTGGCTAGGAAGTCAAAGTGCCTTAGTGATGATGAAAGGCCAGCCACGTGGCTGGGACTTGAAGCACCAGTTAACAGAGTCAAGCTTGACAAGCGATACATCTGGCTGGGAAAGGAGGGTTCCACTGGGTCTCATCTGCTTTCCCTTGTGCAGGCAAGTTACCTAATACATCTTAAGTCTCTCAGGATCCCACCCCAACGCTGTCCCTTCCTTTATACTTGCTGCAGGAATATCTGCCCTCCCCAGTCCTCGGGCTTCCTCTTGCCACCCTGCAGCTCCCTTTCGGCTTCTGTCCCCGCTGTGATACATCCTTAAGTTTCCTCTTCAGTGCAGGGCAGAAGTGGAAGTTCAGAAATTTCCAAGGTAGGGAGGGCAGCAGGACTAGTGCATGACATTTAACTCTCATGAGAAACTTCCTTTATTTAGTGGTTTACAACCTCAACCCTCTCTTCTCTTTCCCTCCACCGCCCACCCCCCACCCCAAGTAATGCCCTGACCACAAAACTAGAACCTCTTTTCCTCCAGCACAGAGCAGAAGGGAGGCTGAGAACCCTTGGACAGGGGCTGCGTATTCCCGCGGGGGTTGGAATCGGGCCAGGTGGGCTCTCGGGGGCTGTGTGAAGGGGTAGCTCTCGACTCAGGAGGCCTGTCAGGTCAGGAATTCTCCAGAACTTTCAGGAGGGTAGCTAGACCAAGCTAAGTAACATCTGGCCCTACACTCTGCCCATGCTCCTGGGTCTAACCCTGGCTAATCACCAGAATCCCTTGGGGGCTCTTGTTAAGAATTCAGATGCCTGGGCCCCACTCGACCTACACAGCTGCCATCTCTCTGAAGAATGAGGCCTGGGTATCTGTAGTTTGCATACCTTCCCGGGGCCGGGGGCAGGGCGGGAGATGGGGGTGGAGGAGGATTCTGATGTGTGGCCGATGTGGGGAATCACAGGGCCATGAGGTTTGTCACCACTGAACACAACTTTAAGGCAAGTCACAGCCGCTGCGTACATGATTCCCCTCCCCCAGGGGTCAGGCTTCGACACTTTAACAGACCAGGGCAGATTCCATCTTTTCGGTGCACAGAGGGGTGGCTAAGAGCTCTCAGACCCTGGCACTGTCCCACAGTAGCAGTGAGATCTGGGAAGAGTCACAGCTCTTCTGTGTTCCAGTTCCCCCACATGCAAAATGGTCGTGAAGACACTCAGCTCACAGGACTGTTAAGGAGATGAAATGAGAAAAGGTAGGTAAAGCTCTTAGCATGCTGTCTGGCACATTCAATAAATGGCATTATTACTTTACCCACAAAGCCCTGGTGTCTTGGAAGGGAAAGTTAGTTGGCGGTCACGGAGCTACTGTCACCCACTAAATGTCTGTGGGGTAGGACAGGAGGACTAGGGCCGTTGGTGTCCCAGACCCTCTTGAGCACCTGGTGGAGGGACATCAGACCCCTGCCCCAGCTGGAATTATTCCACTGAAAGTGAAAGTATCGCCGACTGGCTGGGTGCCACTTCCTCCTGGCGAGCCGAGCCGCCCCCTCACCACCCAGAGTGCTCGAGACGCTCTTGAATCAGCACTGTGAAATCTTGACCCAGAATGCTTTGCTCAAGGAGGCCGTTTGGGCTCGCAGCCCAGATTTTCTGAAATCTCACCCCTCTAATGCCCAAGAGCAGCCCTTCAAAACTCAGAGTTAAGAATCACAAGATCCAGTAGAAAAAGCTGGAAAGGGATTTAAAGGTAACGCCCACACACGCCCGTCATCTGGTGGATTGAAAACAGATGCCCAGATGGAACGAGCCGTACCTAGGGACACACAGCTGACCGGGGCTGAGATGATTCCAGAGCCCAGACCTACTGCTTCTAACCAAGACCCCTAGTCTGGTGCTCTCTCTACTACCTCAGGGGCTTGCAAAAATCATGGAATGCTGGGCTCCACTTCCGGAGCTTCTGATCCAGTGAGACCGTGGTGGGGCAGGAGTTGGCCTCTGAAGACCAAGACCAGGGAACTGGGTGAGAGTCCTGGTGCCTCCATCTAGCAGCTATTGTGGCTAAAGCAAAGATAGTGGGAAACAAAAAATATTCGTCCCAGAAATAACTGGCTCAACATCTCCCCAAAGGCTCTGATGATTTATACCAAGTAAACAGAAAAGAAGGCAGATTTCATTAATCTTAATAAATGGGTATTGCCTTAGGGAGAGGAAGGGGTTGGTGAGAAATAAAAAAAATGTTGTGCATCTACTTGTAATATTGCATTAAACATTAAACTAAACACAGTCTATTTAAAGCACTGCTGTTGGATCTAAACTTAAGTAGCACTGTTAAAACCTGTGGCATAGCAGTGTATCTTATTCAAAGTTTAATTAGATTTCCGAACTAGCTACAAATACACAATTACGCAGTTTTGCTGGAATCTGGATGGCTGGTAAAATGAAAGGATAAGAATCTTCTGTACCAGGTGAAGATCGAGTTCAACAGGACACCTTTATTTTCACATTAATATTTTATAATAGTAATGGCCAACATTTATGGAGGCTTCCTTAGTGCTAAGCAATTGAATGTTTTCTCGTCGGCACTTCAAAACAGTCTAAAATCTTCTTCCAATTCTCTAGGTTATAAAACCAAGTAAGTGGTGAAGTCTAGATTCAGATCCAGCCAACCCTCTTCATCGCTGGAATCTATAGAAAGTTTGCATTTGAAAAGATTTTAAAGTTCAATTAGATTACAACCACATGCACACAGTCACTCCAACAAAGCAAACTCCAGGGGGAGGCAGCTCCTTGGAGAGCTGCTTTAATGCGGAATGACTGGTAGGAATTGACTGCAATTAGCTTACAGTGTATTGGTAGGTAATGGGTATTTCTACAATGCTTCAGAGGGCCTGTAAGTTTGTTCTCTTTGGTGTTTGAAATATTCCCTTTTCGCAGTACAATTTCTTAAATGGGCTGACTGGGCTCTGGGTGTGAATCGATGTGAGGTGAACTCACTTGAAAAGTCTCACCTGAGGAAATTCTACATGAATTACATTTGCATAGGCCCGTTGCAGCAAAAACAATGTTTACTTTCCCCCTCTCTGTTCTGGGTCAGGACCAAGACGAAACACGGTTAAATGTTGACACCATCGAGCATTCAGGATTTATCCTGGCAAAGGCATCAGAGTCTGCTAAAAATACCTGCCTATTGTCTTACCTCTGACACTGCTGAGGGATGTGACACTTACCCGGAGAAAACCAGAAAGGCAGACGGACATCCAGTTTGTGAGGAGTTTTTCGACCACGGACTCCGTGCGTCTCAGCATGAGTTTAGGCTGCATGTTACTACACTGTTCCATCAAGTCCCTGGTCAGCACCTCCAGGATGCTGGTCAGGTAGACCAGCTTGGTTTGCAGTGCAATGGTGAGGAAGGAGGCGAACAGACACCTGTTGAAAAAGAGAGCTGGGTGAACCATCAGCTGCAGGCCTAGCTGGACACTGATGGGAGTGTCCCTGGAAGCTCACTGGCAGGGCAGGGAGCTGGCTTGTTGGGTTGGGAGCTTTTTTTTTTAATGTTTAGATTCTAACCACTTCTATCTCTAGAACATTTTCTGTGTTTTCAGCATTTAGACTAGAGTGGTAACAAGAAGTGAGCCTTCCAAAGTTTCAGGATGTTTTAAAAATAAAAAATAACACTTCTGCTTTTTTGATTAAGAATTTATGGGCCGGGCATGGTGGTTCACGCCTATAATCCCAGCACTTTGGGAGTCTAAAGCAGGCAGATCACCTGAGGTCAGGAGTTCGAGACCAGCCTGGTCAATGTGGTGAAACCTTGTCTCTACTAAAAATACAAAAATTAGCCAGGCGTGGTCCCAGCTACTGGGGAGGCTGAGGCAGGAGAATGGCATAAACCCGGGAGGCGGAGCTTGCAGTGAGCTGAGATCTGGCCACTGCACTCCAGCCCGGGAGACAGAGCGAGACTCCGTCTCAAAAAAAAAAAGATTTTATGTGGGTTTTTTGGGGTGTTGGAGTTTTTCAGGATTACTTGGGGGTGGGAGGGTTGTGTGTGTGTCTTCAAAATAGACTTTATGTTGGGAGCTGGGGGCAGGAGGCTGAAGCAGCAGGATCACTTGAGGCCAGGGTCTGAATCCAGCCTAAGCAACATAGTGAAACCCTGTCTCAAATTTTTTTAAAAAGGGCTAGGCACAGTGGCTTATGCTTATAATCCTTGCAGAAGGGGGTATCGTGTGAGGTCAGGAGTTTGAGACCAGCCTGGGCAATACAGCACTTTTTTGGATCATGTAGTAGAGATGGGGTCTCTACTACTACTACAACAACATTCGTGGGGTGTGGTGGCATGCACCTGTAGTTCCAGCTACTTGGGAAGGCTGAGGCAGGAGGGTAGCTTGAGCCCAGGAGGATGAGGCTGCAGTGAGCTATGATCACACACTTCAGCCTAGGCCACAGAGTGAGATTCCAACTAAAAAAATAAAAATTGTGTTGGGGCGGTGTGATCTAAATGGAGGTAAGGCTGCATAAACTTCCAATCAAACAGCCTTTGGAAAAGTGCATGTTCTCAAGAGACCACGTTCAGATAGTGGTTTGGAAATAAAATATGGGACTCAGGTTTGATTTCTCTCTCTCTTTTTTGTAGAGACAAGGTTTTGCTATGTTGGTCAGGCTGGTCGTGAACTCCTGGCCTCAAGTGATTGCCTGCCTTGGCCTCCCAAAATGCTGGGATTACAGCCATAAGCCACCATGCCCAGCCTGATTTTCTCTTCTTAAAGGCTTTTAAAACATCAGAGAATGGACTAATACCTGTCCTTCACAGAAAAGTTCTTCTGCTTTTCAAGGGTGTGGATGACAGTAACAAGAAAGCTTTTATTACAGATTAGGGCATCCAAAGCTGTGAGACTTTCATTCTTGTCATTGGCGTCTCTGTTCTGAAAAAAAGAAAAAATATATATAGTAGAATACAAAATCATACGTAAGTTTAAAGTTAGAAAGTAGATCCACAATGGGTTTTCCAAGACAATGAACTATTTAATATTGAATTCATGATCCAAAAAAACCACAATAAAAATTCAAAGTAATAATCATGGAGATGATAATGATGATAACACTATGAACATCAGGCAGTCACTGGGCTAAAAATGAAAACGCAGAGACTTACATGCATATCTTCAGTGAAGATGTGGGTGAAGCCACCTGACTGAGAGGAAGGAGACACTTTTATTATTCATAACATCCAAAGGAAATGAAGAGTGTATTTTTGTTATAATACCCAAGTCCGTTTTAATAAAGTAGAGACACTATTTGCTAATCTGAAGCACCCCTGGGTTTATGGTAGCTGCATATTCTCTAATACATAATAAATAATTATGCAGCTTTCAAGAAACGCCACTGAATTCCGAAAGCCTCTAAGAAGAATAATTATCATGGCATCAGTCCTATGTTTGGTAGATGAAGGTATCATCTCACATTTTAGAAGAAGTGATTTAAGAGTTAAAGAAGGGGTCATTGATGAAGATTATGCAAATATCAGACCTCTCTTCAAGCAATTTACCTTCTAAAGATAAAGACTAAATTACATTGCTAAGTTTTACAAGTCTTACCTAAGTAGCATCTACGGTTTCAATACACAATGATACTGAAAACAGGGGGTAGTTAAAAGTATAGAATCTGGACCAAACTACTTGGGTTCCAGTCCTGGTTTTAATCACATACTGGTCACATGACATGGGATGTGTTACCTAACCTGTGTCTGACTTGCCTTATCTCTGAAATGGGGACAATAATAGTTCCCACCAGAGGTTTAGTGTGAAAATAAAATGTGTGCAGAGTAAGTGCCTTGTGTCAGTTATCATTACTGGTTTTATTCCTAATTTATAGCAAACTAGACCACAATGCTATTATCCCACTGGTTTCTAAATGCTAGGTAGCTCTGGAATATAAACTTCAAAATTTGAGGGTTTGTAGTGTACCATAAATCTTATTAAAAATTAAAGGTTCAACTTTGAAAGTATGTTAAGCAATACTTTGAGTCCACAGAATGAGACTCTAAACTGAAAACATTCAGGTTTTTCTTCCTTTTTGATAATAGAAACTTTGAGCTAATTTTATATCTTGTGAAGTAAATTTCTTCTGTAGAGAATTTTGCTTCAAAATTTCAAATTTGCTAGCCCAAGCAAAAGACCTAAAACTCTTTTCGCCATATCCTCCCCTAGTTAAAAGCAAAAAAGTCCCAAAAAACAAACTGAAAAAACCCCTAGACCCTAGGTTTGCATTTTCTAGTTCTTAATATTTTTCTACTGAACCAACTTCATGTAAATGGACAGGAGAAACAGGTTGATTCTTAATCATAAATACGGAAGTGCCACCCTGGCTCTCTGTGTTTTTGTTTGTTTCTTTGTTTTGAGACAGGGTCTTGCTCTGTCACCCAGGCTGGAGTGCAGTGGCGCAATCTCAGCTCACTGTAACCTCCACCTCCCAGGTTCAAGCAATTCTTTTTTTTTTTTTTTTTTTTTGAGACGGAGTCTTGCTCTGTCGCCCAGGCTGGAGTGCAGTAGTGCGATCTCAACTCACTGCAAGCTCTGTCTCCCAGGTTCACACCATTCTCCTGCCTCAACCTCCCGAGAAGCTGGGACTACAGGCGCCTGCCACCACGCCTGGCTAATTTTTTTGTATTTTTTAGTAGAAACGGGGTTTCATCGTGTTAGCCAGGATGGTCTCGATCTCGGATTCAAGCAATTCTCTGCCTCAGCCTCCCGAGTAGCTGGGATTACAGGTGTGCACCACCATCCCCGCTAATTTTGTATTTTTAGTAGAGACGGGGTTTCACAATGTTGGCCAGGCTGGTCCCTAACTCCTGACCTCAAGTGATCCACCCGCCTCGGCCTCCCAAAGTGCTGGGATTACAGGCGTGAGCCACCAGGCCCGGACCCGTGGCTCTCTGTGTTTTAAGGCTGTTTCCTCCTTTCATTCAAATTTCCCTTTTATTCAGCTTAGATCCTCTGCCTACCCTTATTTCTTCTCCTATTTTATGCAAAGCAAAGAAGAGTCAATATAATAAAAAGCAAGGCTCTAAAAGCCAAAACCAACAGGCAGAGCAAAGAACCCTGGCCTCCTTTGAGAACCTACAATCTTCTCTGGATTTTGCCTGTTGCTTTTTTGTAGGTGCTGAACACGCAAATCCTCCCCCTCCCCAGCCCCCAACCTCCAGGCCTAGAGGATTTGGCTTCTGATCAATCCATAAAGAGCCTAATTAATACCAGGACTTATCTACAGCCTGGAATGCATTTCAAGGGGCATTGTCTTCTTATGATGTGTTTTCCTGTTCTATCTTTTCTTAATTATTATAAATTCAATTTTGACTTAGGTCTTCTTGAAAGGGTTCTGACAAATTTATGCGTGTTTTTTTCCTGCGTTCTCTCCTTTAAACAACTTCTGACTTCAATTTTTATGGCTTTCCCAGTTGTTTTTCAGGATTATACATAACACTGAGTTAAATCAGTTTGGCTCCTTTGCAACTATCTCTCTTCTAAAATAAGGTAGCATTGTTCCTGGGATCCTTTTTTTTTTTTTTTTTTTTTTTTTTTGGAAACATTCAACTTGCAACAGTGTTCCTTTACATTCATTACTCTATCTTGTTCTTGATTACCAAATTTAGAAGATAAGAACATTTCTTTTCTCAGACCACAGATTACTCTATTCAGCACTCAAGGGCAATCATTAACTATAAAAGCCCACACAGCATTCATGTTGATAGTCAAAAATCTCTGTTATTTTATTGCTTTTAAATTCTTAATGGGGATCTCAGATAGCTCAGAAATGGGACTCGTGATGCAACCTTTGCAGAGGCCCCGCACAGTCATCCTGATTCGGGGAATCGAATTCCCCTCCCCAGGCGGTGTTCTGCCATAGAAATGGATGAGGTGGCAAATGGCAGATCTCGGTGCCTCGGTACTCTTGGAGGATAAGTTAAGGGAAACAAACTTCACCAGCACAAAAAGCTGAAGTCTTATTTACAGCCTTCTTGATTTATAACACTAAGGCTTGGACCAAAAAATATGGCAGGTGTTTTATGAAGGCATTCCAACCTCCAGACCCTGCATTACATATCATGGTGTCCTCTTCTAGAATTATAGAGAAACTGGAAATTGCTTACTGCATGTCTCTGAGTTTCTGAACTCTAGGCTCCTGGCCAATTGTTTTGGAGAAGCTTCTGGTAAGGTGATACAAACTCTCCTTTGGCCTGGAGAGGTATCAGCCATTGCTTAGAAGTCTAGATTGAAATGTGATCGTTGGTATTGATGTGTTTAAGAGGTTGGGCCTCTATGTGGTCATCAGATCGCAAAAAAGAAGGGCAAGATGGCGGAGCTGGGGTATCAGGACGTGGCAGTGATGATACGCAGGATGAGTGTACCTCGCCAAAGACTTGGGAGGGTAAATGGAGAAGGCTGAGCGAGTGAGTGAGAAAATGGAGGCGTGAGAACATAGGTAAGACCAGCAACCCAAAGGGTTAAGTAGACGACTCCTCAGAGTCCTAGAACAAATGAATCAATCAGTTCGTGCATCTATGTCTACTAAATGAGGATGATACAAACTGATCAGCTAAAGAAAAACTACCGAAGAGAACCATAAGAACTTTACATGGCTAAAAATGCCTGTTTTCAACTCCAATTCCATCCATGTCTACTTTCCTCCCTTTTGACCGGTAGTATTTTTCCTTTCCAATTGAGAAGTAATAGTGAATAATCTAGTCGCTGCAATGTAAGTCATGCAGATAAACACAACAAATTGGCTAGCTCACAATTTATTGATTTTTAAATAAACTAGCTCACTTCCCAGCTACACATTCAGTTCTACATTGGGAGTAAAAGAAAGCAAAAATCATCACTCTGAGCTTCTGTCCCTCCTAGCTTTTTGTTACTGGGCAAAGAATAATCACCAGTGACCCATCACTGTTTTATACCCTAATCAATGCAATTAATAATTACCCTCCTCCCTGCTCTGCTCAAACTTAAGCCATTATTTTGTACCAAGCACATTATCTATAGCTGCCTCGGAAGCAAACACTTGTTTTGACAACAGCAACAAGCACCTTCATTATTATTCAAGACTCAACCTTCGGAATATGATCAATGCTCTTTTACCTCAGGGAAGAAAGTTCTCAGAGCAAAATGTTTGTAGTCAAGGAAGGGAACAGTTCCAAAACTATCAACCACATCCAATTTATCCATCTGCAGCTCAGCAAAGCCTGCAAAACAGAATCCCAAGAGCAATATTTTAACTCAACAAACAATGGATAAGATCTTCTGCTGTTCTGTCTAACACAGGGTATGACCTTGGTTTTCATTAAAGAAGAAACAATAGATAATGACTTGGTTGGCTGCAGAGAAGAGCTGAAATAAAACGCAAAGCCAGGTCCAGGCCCTGCTGTTCCGTTGTTTTCTATTATACAAACAGTTCTCATTACTGTGGCCATCTCCATGTAAGGGTAAAAAAATAAAAATATAAATATAAAAGGCTTGTTTTTCTACAAATACAATTTTGGAGCCTACCGTCACGTATCTCTTTCCGGAGCTCGCTTTCCAGCAACTCTAGCTGTTGACTCTGTTTGCGACTCAGCTCCTTCGATTTGTGCCTGGTCACCCCCACGGCCGCTAAGAGACAGAGATGCTGCATTAGAGGGACATGTTCACTCAAAAACCAAAAATGAAAACAAATAGCAACCTTTACAGTTCTTAAAAACAAATAACAAAAAAACCAGATAGGGACAGAGAGCAAGAGCTAGAATGAAACTAGAAAATAGCATTGAAGAGCTGGATCTTATAAAAAAGAAAATTTCCCAGTGAGGGGTCACTCTGAAGAGGAAGATGCTGAAATGCAACAGAAAAAACCCAAAACCTTACTCATTTTACAAGTGAAAGCTAAATCAAATAACCTTCACTTGTAACCAAAGATCCCAGTTGGCTGAAATGTAATGGAACAAGCCAAGTTTCCCCACAGCTGCAGCCACTTGCATTGTTCCATTCTTTTTGAATGTTTGTAAGCATCCCTGGAGAAATAAAGTTGTGCTGCAAATGCAGAAAGGAACTGCAGATCCACAGTTGGCTACATGGGCCAAACCTGCATAGAGCTAATGAGGTGACATGATGAGCGAACCACAAGGAACTCCCATACCTCCTTACTGCTTCTAACTGTGCTGCAAAGGCCATAAACCAACCCAGTTCGGTTCTTGGGTTCATGTCCTTGCTCTGTCATTTACTAGCTGTGTGACCTGGGTTAAGTTCCTCAGCATCTCAGTGCCTGGCTGCGTTCTCTGTAAGAGTGCCTATCTCACTGTGATGCTGGGAGGATTATAAGAAGTAACTCATAAAAAGCATTAAGAATGTATTATTTTAAAAGTATAGGTATTCAACAATCAACCATCATTATTCTAGGAAGCTTCTCCTCACTTATACAAATTACAGCCAGGTGCGGTGGCTCACGTCTGTAATTCCAGCACTTTGAGAGGCTGAGGTGGGAGCCTGGCTTGAGGCCAGGGGTTTGAGATCAGCCTGGGCAACAGAGAAAGACATTTTTCTGTCTTTACAAAAAAAAAAAAAAAAAAAAAAAAATAGAGCATTAGATGGGTGTGATGGTGCATGCCTGGAGTCCCACCCAGCTACTTGGGAGGCTGAGGTGGGAGGATCACTTGAGCCCAGGAGGTCAAGGCTGCAGTGAGCCGTGATCGTGCCACTGCACTCAGCCTGGGCAAAAAAGAAAGACCCTTTCTCCAAAAAAAAAAAAAGAAATTACATAATAGATGGGCTCTGCTACCAATAATGCTGGAGGAAACAAATACAGCTCTTCACTGGACTACTTCATAAAGTCAACAGTTAATAACATGCGTTGTGCGTGTCTAAGAAAGGGTGGAGTATGTAGTGATTCCCAAACTTACTTGACCATGGAACCTCCTTTTCCAGGACAGTCACTTGGGACCATTGTTCCTCAGACCTCAGTTTGAGCAACACTGACTCATGCACACAAAGGCTCATGTTTTCTAGCTCCAGAGACTTGCACAGGTATCAGCAATATAACAGGTGCTGGATGAACATCAGGTGAATAGATGCAGGGATGAATGAGTGAATATATGAGTGTATGGAAGGAAACATTGGCCACTGCCTGGACTAGCCATCAAATTTCAGAAAGGCAATACCTATGTTCAAAGAAGAAATACAAAGTGGTTTTTTTTGTTTTTTGTTTTGAGATGGAGTCTTACTCTGGCCAGGCTGGAGTGCAGTGGCACGATCTTGCCTCACTGCAACCTCCAGCTCCCAGGTTCAAATGATTTTCCTGCCTCAGCCTCCTGAGTAGCTGGGATTACAGGCACGTGCCACCACACCCAGCTAATTTTTGTAGTTTTAGTAGAGATGGAGTTTCACCACGTTGGTCAGGATGGTCTTGATCTCCTGACCTCGTGATCTGCCTGCCTCGGCCTCCCAAAATGCTGGGATTACAGGCATGAGCCACCAGCCAAAGTGCTATTTGTTGGTGGATAAGACTTCCTTTTTCAAAGAAGGATGAGAGAAAATAGACTTCAAATGACAAGCAGCTCAGAACCAGAGTCACAAACGAAATGGCTGCAGATATCAGCTACATAGATGTGTTAAATGGCCTAGGTGGAGACAATATGGAGTGGTGGCGACTGTGGTCAAAACCTAGGGAGCACGTTCCCTCTCTCAAGGGCATAGCTGCTACTCAGCTCTAATAAATGGATGCTACGGAAATTTGGGATCCAATGATCCAAATCTTTCACATTTTTCAAGAGATGTTTCCAAATGTGAATCACTAATTTTTAAATGTTATAAGCTACTTAATAGTTTTAGAAAATGCTACATGGGCGAAACAAAATATATTGGTGGGCCAGATGTAGCCAATGAGCAACCACCATGGGCTCACGGTGTGTGGATGAGCCTGGGACCACTTTAAGAGATGACATAGATCATTTAAAAAAACAAAAATGTGTTTACTTTTTAGACACAGGGCCTCATTCTGTTGTCCAGGCTGGCATGCAGTGGCATGATCATAGCTCACTGTAACCTCAAACTCCTGGGTTTATGCAGTCCTCCCTCCTCGGCCTCCCAAAGTGTTGGAACCACAGGTGCGTGCCACTGTGCCCAGGCATGACCACACTTCTAAAGTGTGGTTCTGCCCAGAAAATCAAGACTGGGATGAGACTGGGGTGGTAGGTGGTGGGGGGTGGTCAGGATGAAATAACCAAGTCCTGGGAGCCCAAAATCCCAGAGAAGTTCTTAGAGAATTACATAAATGAACACTTGTCACCACAATTCGAAGGAATGGAGAAGCAAAGTAGATTATATCCCTCAAATCCCAAGATACCATCTATGTAATCCAGCCTTCTATTAATGAAGCAACCTTAAAAAAAATTTGTTTTTTGTTTGTTCGTTTGTTTTTGAGATGGAATCTTGCTCTGTCCCCCAGGCTGGAGTGCAGTGGTGCGATCTCGGCTCACTGCAACCTCCGCCTCCCGTGTTCAAGCAATTCTGCAGCCTCAGTCTCCCGAGTAGCTGGGATTACAGGCTCCCGCCATCACACCGGCTAATTTTTGTATTTTTAGTAGAGATGGGGTTTCACCATGTTGGCCAAGCTGGTCTTGAACTCCTGACCTCAAGGCAATCCACCTGCCTCAGCCTCCCAAAGTGCTGGGATTATAGGCATCAGCCACCATGCCTGGCCAAAAGAAAAGTTTAGAAAGCCCTCAGCATGTACCTATTATTCGTTTCTCAAAGTTTTGATTTGGGCTTTCACCCATTTATACTTAATTGAAGCAAACAGCCCCTGAAAGCTGAAAGTCTGCCTGCCTGGTGAGATGCCCCAAGGAATAATTTCTCTGACAACATTAAACAGGGCACTTACCAAAAATGACAATCACTAGCAAGACAGGGAGCACAATCAGAAAATACCACGTGGAAGGAACTGACTCCTGCTCGACGTAGAGCTCCAGGTTTCCCAGCTTGACCTGATGGGACAAAGAATGTCATTAGACCCAATTGAGTTGGGGACTGTATTTATTTACATAATTTCCCCCCTAAAATGGCTTCACAATACAAAAAGAAGCAGTGAACTGGGTAGGATATGAGTTCAACTCTCATTTCTGTGGCAGATTGGCTATGTGTCCTTGGGCAAATCCAGAATATTCGCTGTGCCTCAGTTTCCTGAAATGTCAGTCGAACGTGTGCTGGACTACACCCTCAGAGTCTTAATTTTGGCCCTCTTTGCTCTGGGGGTTATAAGTTGCGGGAGTGAGGGCAATAAAGAGGCAGTAACCTGTAGGCAAGAAGCCCCTGCCCCTTATTCTAAGGGAGAAACTCAATTTTTATCTTTTTTACAGGCAGGCTTATTTTGTTTTTGTTTTAGACACAGGGTCTTGCTCTGTTGCCCAGGCTGAAGTGCAGTGGTGTGATCATAGCCCACTGTAGCCTCGAACTCACCATGGGCTCAAGTGATCCTCCCACCTCAGCCTCTCAAGTAGCTGGGGCTACGGTGCACACCACCACACCTAGCTAACTGTTAAATTTTTTGTAGAGACAGGGTCTCACTATATTGCCCAGTCTGGTCTCGAACTCCCAAACTCAAGCGATCCTCCACCTCAGTCTCTCAAAGTGCTGGAATTACAGGTGTGAGCTACTGTACCTGGCATCCTATTTTGAATAAAACATTCTGTGGCAAAAACCAGATTGTCAGTGCTGATCAGATCATCCCTGAGGGATTTTTGCAGTTTTAGCATTTTTTTTTTTGGTTATATTTTGTGAAACTTGTCAAGGGAAAAACTCTACATGAAGCTTAATTATTTCATTGATGTACATACAAGTATTAAGGCGTGTTTCCATCTTTGGACCCATGCTGCTCCCCGTGGAGGCATTTGAGCACAGCGGCTGGAGGATGGATTTGGACCCAGATAGCTGAAGCTCTCCATCCCAGCTCTGCCACCTGTGTTCTCAGCCATAGAACCCTGGGTTAGGTACGCACATCCAGTCTCCTTTTTCCTCATCTCTGAAATGTGATGTTGGGAGTGCCTCTTGGTAGGCTGTCATAACTAAATGCATGACGTCATCTGAATAAGTCAGCTCATGGCGCCCTCCTCAAAACTCTCCCATGCCTTCCCCAGCCCACCAGCCAAGCCCTCGCCATGGTCCACAAGGTCCTAGTCATCTCCTGTTCTCTCCGCGAACTCTCTAACCTTGGAAGCCTCTGCTCTGCTCCCTCCACTGCAGTCACACTGGCCTCCTTGCTGCTCTTCAAACACGCCAGGTAGCCTCCTGCCTCAGGACCTCTGCAACCTCTGCTCCCTCTGCCTAGAATGTTCTACCCCAGATAGCCCATGGCTTGTTCCCACTCCTCCTTATACAGATATCACCTTCATAAGCAGCCCTTTTCTACCCACTATTGCAAAACCTGCAGCATGGCCCCCCACCCCCCACACTGGTGCTTTTTTCTCCATAGCAACTGCCACCAAGTAACGCAATTTTTATTTATATTCTTCATGCTGTATCTCTTTAGGGAACCTCCACAAAGGCAGATGTTTTTGTCTGTTTTATTCTCTGTCTGTCCCCATCATGGCATAGGCTCTCAGGAGCTATGTCATGACGGATGAAGAATGCTAACACTTGCTCTTCTCAACTAACAGGAAACACTGGTGAGTTGAGTTGTTGTTCCTTATTGTTTTCTTGAAACAGGGTCTTACTATGTTGCCCAGATTTCTAGGGGCTCAAGTGATCCTCCTGCTTTGGCTTTTCAAAGTGCTGGAATTATAGGCATCACTTATCTCTCCCAGCCCAGTTGTTATTCCTGTTTTAAAACTTACTATTGGCTGGGCGTGGTGGCTCACACCTGTAATGTCAGCACTTTGGGAGGCCGAGGCAAGCAGATCACTTGAGGCCAGGAGTTTGGGACCAGCCTGCCCAACACAGTGAAACCCGGTCTCTACTAAAAATAGAAAAAATTAGCCAGGCGTGGTGGCGTGTACCTGTAATCCCAGTCACTTGGGTGACTGAGACATGAGAATCGCTTATAACTGGGAAGCGGAGGTTGCCGTAAGCCAAGATTGCGCCACTGCACTCCCGCCTGGGTGACAGAGTGAGACTCTGTCTACAAAATAAATAAAACTTATTATTACCCCCATTTACCATACAGATGGACAAAGAGAGGCTCAGGAAACTCAAGTGATTTACCTAAGGCCACAGAGCTATTAACTGGAGCCACTGGGACATGAACACATTTTTGTTGTTGCCTTCCAGTCTGAAGTTCTTTTCCATTGTCTTTTATCCAATTATTGATGACAATAGATCAAAAAGAATTTATATAGGCTGTACAGAGCCTCATATGGCAGGAACACTATAAAGGGTGACTTCTGTTTCCCTTCTCAGTGGTCTCACATCTTTATTATGGGACATAAATATGGCCGTGACGGGTCCCCCAAACATCTCTGGGATAAGATTAATCGCAGACAGTATGACTTCATGGTGAAGGAAGCAGGCTGTGACCCAGAGATTATCTGACTCCATCTGATTCTAATGCTACCCGGAGTGTGATGAAGAGGCCCTTGTTTGTTTTGGGTTTCTGCTAAGACATGTCACCTCTGCATTTGAGAAAGGAGTGACAGCTCATTTGTCAATGGGTCTAGAGATTTTGCTTGCAGATGCTACTGTATAAATGTATGGCTAGAACAACAGCTATCAAGACTCATTAGGATTATAGACAATGGTGTGTCCAATGCTTTGACATTCAAACAAGCACAGGGATGGATTCAGCCAGCTATTTTGGAGCTATTTTGCTTGGGCTAGCAGTACCAGCTTTGTTTATCTTCTATCTAAAGTGAGGATCTGAAGATCCATGAAAGATTCCATTCCGGCCTCTGGTTTAGCCAAGGAATTATCACAAAAATCAGGTAAAGACAGCAGGTGGGACTGCCAGGTCACTTACACGAACTTTCTTAGAAGAGTTGGCAATGGTGCTTGCAGTCTTGATGCCTTTAATTTTGCAGAGGATGGTGGTGAGATCTTGATTTCTAGTAATATTTTCAAAACTGCAATTTAATTGCCCATTTTCTCCATGGAAGAGAGTAATTTCAATGTCTTTTTTGGAAATGTTGAAGTTGTCGTTTTCTTTCTGTGAAGAATAAAATGAAGATGGAGAAGTCAGAGCACGTGTAGAAACTCACAAGCATAAACACACCTTTCCGGTGAAGGGGGCGGGGCGACATCCCACTCAAAAAAAAAAGAAACATACTTGAATTTTCACTTCCAGTTCTGTGTCCACCTCGGATTCTACCCGATACCCTGTGAATCTGGGGTCCTCCCGATACTGCAGGGTTCCACAGTCCAAGTAGGTGTCTTGTACTCTCAGCTTCACAGTGACATTCGTGCGCACTTTTGAACTCTTTAAACTGGGGGCTAAAAACCCGCAGTAAGTCGCCACACAATATTCAGAGACCTGGAGAAAAGAAAGGAACGTTTTAGTCACTTTGTGAATGAATGCCAGCTCTGATCTCTAAGAGCTAAGTGACCTGAGCAACTTAACTTCTTGGTGCTTCTGTTTTCTCATGTGTAATATGGGGCCAGCAATACTACCTCCCTCACAGGATTGACTTAACCCTACATTACATTAAATGAGGGCTACGTTAAATGAGATTATGCATGCTTAGAACAGGGCCCGGCACACAGTAAGCACTCAAAATGTGCTAGTGAATATTATGATCTCATGAGTGACAATGAAAGCAGCTGGAAGGTTATGCCATGGGAAAAGAAACTAAGCTGAAAGCAGTAGGCTACGGAAAGGGGAAGATTCTGACCCAAGGGGCTTAGGTGTCCTTGGGGTCAGCCTGTCTGAGCCCTCGGGAACCACGAGAAAAGAAAAGTGTCCAACCCCCAGCAAGGGTCAGCTCCTGAAGCGCTTGTTGCAGCTGAATCACTCTTTGTTGGGGGAACCTCCTGCAGGGCCTTAGCAGAAGTCACTAGCCACAAGAAGGAAAAGCCTTTTCAGGCGTAACAGAAAACAGGAACAATGTGTCCCCCATGAAATGAAAAGCATGAAAACTGAAAACAATGCAGAAAAGGTGGCCTGATTTACAGGATTAAAAACAAACAAAAAAAAACATAAATAGGCTGGGCACGTGGCTCATGCCTGTAATCCCAGCACTTTGGGAAACTGAGGGAGGAGGGTTACTTGAGTCCAGGAGTTGGAGAACAGCCTGGGTAACATAGTGAGACCCTGTCTCTCTATATATAAAAAAATAAAATTTAAAAAGTTAGTAAATACATACCATAAATATATTGAAATATATTGTCCTGTTTAGGTGTACAGGACAGGCAGAGGAGGCTGGTGGGTTAAGGGAGGATGGCAAACATTCTACAGAAAAGCAATGATAACCCATAAAAAGAAATTTGTCAGGTGGTAAAAAGTATTTTCCCCCATCCCCACCACCCCCTGATACTAGAGCATAAAAAAGACAATAGGAAGGGGCAATTGGTGGGAAAATAGGATGTGAAGAGCTGAGATCTGGACAAGCACAACCTTCCTTTCCCTTCACATCTTTCCAAACTCTATAGCCCGGAATCTCCTGCTCACATTTCTGTCCACAGGATGAAAACCACTGTCTCCACTGCCTCAGCAACCCTAACTCCTAGCAGGCTGGCTTCTTACTGAAGATGCCTTCTAGAAGGATTGCCGGCGAGAGGATCACCCAACCTCATTATCCTCAAGACTCTACAGTTCTGTACTCATGACCAACTCGCACCATGCGATTTGCTCTTTTTCACTGGTTTCTGAGCACCCTCTGGGCCACCTTCACGGCCCATCCTATTGTCTTTCATTAAATGAAGCTTTGCCACCAGTCCTAGGTGCTCTTTTCTTCCTCCTCTGTGCTCTCACTCCCATGATGTCACCCCCACTCTCCCTTTAACAATACTGCTATAAAGATAAGCTGGTCATCTCTAGCTTCACCATGCCCCAGCACTTGAGACCTGCTGTGCTAACCATAGCCCAAAGGGACCTGCTGTCAGCCCAGAGAGACTGCGGACGTCTCTGACACACCTGCACTGGCATGAGCATCCTCACTGGGCTCCCAGCCCTTCTTCAGTTCCTGCCTCTCCAAACTCAGTTGTGCACCATTGCCAAAATAATAACCGCCCTGCAGGAGGTTTCCCAACAAAGAGCGATTCAGCAGCAACAAGCGCTTCAGGAGCTGGCCCCTGCTAGGGGTTGGACACTCTCTTCTTTTCTCGTGGTTTCCCAGGACTCGAGACAGGACACCGAAGCCTTTTAGGTCAGAATTCTCCCCTTTCCCTGGTCTACTGCTTTCTGCATAGTCTCTTTTCCCATTGGTAACCTTCTGACTGCTTTCATCGTCACTAATTGTCTCGGTCCAGTGTGAGTCCAGTGCACCTAGACCTGTGTCACTTCCTGCTCAGAGATCTTCAGTGGCTCCCTGCTGCCTACAGAATTAAGGGCAAGTTTTCAGTCTGATGCCACTTTTTGTGGCCCCAACTCAGCTTTACAGCTATCCTTCTTGCTTATTCCCGACCCACCCTCTAGGTTCCCACTAAGTAGGATTGAGTGACGTTCCCAGCAGGGGCCTGCAAGGACTCTGTCCTCTGTACCTGAACTCACCTCCCTGCTCTACCCAGCCCACTCCATACTGCGGGCATACTTCATCCCATCCATGTTTAATTTCTCTTTCATGTGAAAATACCTGGTGTCTTCTTGGACTCACAGGGTTTCTGAACAGTTAGGGAACCAGAGGACCTAGAACCTGATGATACTCTGTGCTGTCAACTTTTTTAATTTTTATTTTATAGAGATGGGGTCTCACTATGTTATCTAGGCTGGTCTCAAACTCCTGGCCTCAAGCAGTCTTCCTGCCTTGGCCTCCCAAAGTGCTGGGATTATAATCGTGAGCCGCCACACTCAGCCTCAACTTTCAGTCCCAGTGTAGATTTGCTGCCTGCCTCCATGAAGGCAATATGACTATCTCACTTATCTTTTGTCCCTGCACCCAGCAAAATGTTTTGCCTGCAGTAGGTGCTCAAAAAATTCAGCTTGATTTGGGAACAGCAAGTGGGAGGGAGAGTAAGTCCACGAAAAACTCAGGCAATGCCTCTGGTCAGAGGGTCAAACTACATGAGTCATTCAACTGGAGGTGTTCACACCATGGAGATGTGGCCTGGAGTCAGATACAGTGTGAGGCTTGGAAATGGCTCTGAACCGTGTCCGCAGGCGAATGTGTGCACAACAAGGCTGTGAGGACGGCCTATCAGGAGGCCCCCGGAATTTGGGTCTGAACCCATACTGTCCCAAGTAGGGAGCATGTCAGCCTTGGCAGGAAGTGGTCAGGCAGGGCCCCAGAGAGGCAGCCACCTCACATATCTCATCAAGGAGAGGGAAAAAGGGGAAGAAAGAATGGGGAAGGACATTTAGAAGTGTGTGCTAGTACACTTGGAGGCCTGACTTGTATGTGAAATCCCTCATCTCCCCTCTTGGCATCAGAAGCTTCCATCTAGAGCAGCCGTGTCCAGCCTTTTGAATGTGAGGACTTTTATGCTTATCTGTGGTGGTGGGTATCACGGAAATGATGCACAAACATTTTTTAGCTCATCAGCTATCGTTAGTGTTGGTGAGGCCCAAGACAATTCTTCCAATGTGGCCAAAGGAAGCCGAAAGGTTGGACACCCCTGCTCTAGAAGATCTCCATCCAGAGGCACTGGTGGGAGAACTGGGCAAGGGTGGAAGCCAGACCCCTCCTACCATTTCTGCTGTGGGGAGATGAAAGGGAAGAGAAGGTGACATCAGATGGTAGGGAACAAATTGGGTCGAGGAGAAGGAGAAGCACGTGACAAGATTTCTGGGACCTTTGCAAGTCATCTAATCTCTGTGAACCCCAGCTCTCTCTGTGCAATGGGAACACCACCACCTACTCTTCACAGAAATGCAATTTTTTATATCACACCTTAACCTTTCACGAAGAATTTTCACACATATTCATAAGCATTTCCTCATTAAGGTGACTTGCCACAAAACACATAAAAAGAAAATGTCAGGTCTTATTGTACCAAGTTCATTTCTCTTTCCTCATTGCTGCAACTAGAAATACTCAGCTACAAGGATAAGGTTTTATTATTTCCACTCTAGCACAGATAGTATATATGATAGCGTAGGTAAAAGTTTATAACACCAAAGTCACAGAAATAAAAAATGCCCCCCAACAAAGCATAGTGTGATGAAAATAGAACCATCCTTGAAAACAACTATTGTTACAAAGCAGCTGGAGACTTACATTTATGTTTCCTTTTAATTCATGTGAAATGATTAAGTTGTCAATTACATCAAAATTTCTGCCCATCATGGTTATATTTTGACCACCACTGCAAGGAATAAAAGCAACAATAAGGGTTTCATAGCTAAAACACAGGCGTTTTGCATTTATGAACAAAGCTATCAATTTATTCATGTTTAATATTAAACCCAATTATGTTTGAGAGCAAATTAATGAATTTTAATTTCAAATACAGGACAATTTTAGAAATATTTTCAGGATACCAGTCACAAATTCAGGGGTTTCAAGATGCATAAATATAAAAATTCAGGTCAGATCCTATTTTAATTCTAGGAAAATGCCCAGATTCTTTGATGGAATTTGAATTTTGTTGTATGTCATATCGCCACATATAATCAGATCAGGAGCTGTACCTTGAAAAGGTTTCACTAAACAGAATTTTGTTTGATTACTGTTTAATCTATATAAAGATGCTTCCATCTAACAATTTTCAAAATCAAACTCCTAACCTACCAATGATATGCTATTTAGAGAGACAGGAAACACTTTGGGCAAGGTAAAATTACAGATGACATTAAAAGTGTAAATTCCTATTTGGTACGCCATATAAATAACAGCTACATTCTATCTCTCTAAAACCAAGTCAAATAACTTCACGTTTCTCAGTGCATACAAGTGAAGCGGTCACTGGGTGTGAAATAAACAGCTGTCCACAGCTCTGGCTGCCCTTGTACCCCTGTTCATGTAGGTCACCAGACACTCATTCTAGGGGACAAGAGCCTGGGTATGTCAGGTCCAACAGCCAGCTGAGCCCCTGATGACAAGACCAGGAGGTGGGCCTGAGCAACCCAATTTGTGTAGGGCAGAGTGAAGACACTGATCTCTGAATCCTCCAGCCACAATGGGGAAGGGCTGAGTTGGCCTCATGCCAGTATGTAGCCATTACTAGAAAACCAAGCCAAGCGAGCTGTCCCGATGGCCAGCATTTAGGACCACATTCTTGCTCAAGGCACAGTGACCCAGGAGCAGCCAAGACACACAGGCTCAGAATGTCACAGGTGACAGGACAGTAAGGAGCCTCTTACTTTATAGCAAAGCAGGATACTGCAGTGGCTCAGAGCCCAACCTCCTAGTCCTGGCTGTCTGGGGGGCTGGGGTGAGTTGTTTGAACCCTTTTCCTCCCCTAGTTCCCTCATTTGCAAAAGGGACAAGCCACAGCAGATCTCATAGATTTGTTGTGAGTATGAATCTAGTCAATAGATGAGCACACCAGGCACGTGGGGCATGCCACATCAATGTCTCCTTTTATATGGAGAATGGAATTGGTCCTAGAGTGGGGGATGTCATGCTAGAGCCTTGGTTTTGAAATTTCAGTTCCTCTTATCTTACTATTATGGACTGAACTGTGACCCCATAAAATGGGTATGTTGAAGCCCTAACTCCCAGTGCCTGGGAATGGGACTGTATTTGGAGATGTGGGTGGTTAAACAGGTAATAAAGGTTAAACGAGGTCACTGGGGTAAGCCCTAATCCAACACGACTGATGTCCTTATAAAAAGAGATTATCCCAGCTACTCAAGAGGCTGAAGGTGGAGAATCGCTTGAACCCGGGACACAGAGGTTACAGTGAGTCAAGATCCTGCCACTGCACTCCAGCCTGGGTGACAGAGTGAGACTCTGTCTCAAAAAAAAAAAAAAAAAAAAAAAAGAAGGGAGATCTGTACAGAGAGACAGAGGGAAGACCACGTGAAGACATAGGGAGAAGATGACCATCTACAAGCCAAGGTATAAAGCCTCAGGAGAAACCAAGCTTACCAACACCATGATTTCAGCCTCCAGAACTGGGAGAAAGAAATTTCTGTTGTTTAAGCCACAAAGGCTGTAGCACTCTATGTCCACCCTAGCAAACTAATATAGCCACCTCTCTCTTGATCTTAAATAAGAACATTAAAAGTGATTTTTTTCTTCCCCTCCTTTTCTTCTTCTTCTTCTTTTTTTTAACAAAGCTTTGTCTGTAGGTTTATCTAGAGAGTACTTTGAAAACTAGCTTCGTACTGTGTCAGGCAAAGAAAATATCGTTAGGATTTTAGTCCTAAAGAGATTTAGGAATAAAAATATTATGAAAGTGAATTCAAATTCAACTAGGGGGAATCTTTATTGTAGAACTCTTCACAATAACCAAGATAGGTACTCAACCTAAGTGTCCATCAACGGATTAGAGGATAAAGAAAATGTGGTACCTAAACACAACGGAGTATTATTCAGCCTACAAAAAAGAATGAGATCCTGTCATTTGCAATAACACAGATGGAACCGCAGGACATTATGTTAAGTGAAATAAGCCAGGCACAGACAGACAAATGTTGCAGGTTCTCACCCATATGTGGGAGCTGAGAAAGTTGGTCTGATGGAGATAGAGAGTAGAATTATGGGTATCAGAGGCTGGGAAGGGTGGTGTGGCAGGGTCAGAGAGGGATAAAGAGGGGTTGGTTAATGGCTACAAAAATACAATGAGATAGAATAAGATCTAGTGTTCAGTAGCGTAGTAGGGTGTCTGTAACTCACAATAATTTATTGCATATTTAAAAATAGCTAGAAGAGTAGAATTGGAATGTTCCTAACAGAAATAAATGATAAATGCTTGAGACGATGGATACTCCAATTACCCTGATTTGATGATTACATATTCACTGTATGATTGTAGAAAAAATATCACATGTGCCCCATAAACATGTCCAAGTATTATGCACCCATGAAAATGTAAAAAATACGTAATAGTAATAAATAAAAACATTCAACTAGAGAGAGAAAAGTTTTTCTTAACATATTGGATTTATCTGGGCGAGTTTATTTTGGGGTTTCCATCTCCCCCTTAGGGAACATCTTCAAAATGTTGATTCTGCTTTTCATTTTGATAGCTCCCAATATTTCCCCCAAAGAATTCAAAACAGCTTACTCTAAAGACTGTAAAATGAAAGAGGTAAGAAAGAAGCATTTTATCATGAGCAGGAGGGACACATAGTAAAGAGTGTTATATATCGATATCAAAACCCTAGACCAACATTTCAGCTGTGAGTTTCCCAGCAGCCATGGTGAAGAGAAAAAGATGTGCTCATAGCATTCACAATGAGCATGGGAAGCAAATGCCTTGTCAGGTATGCATTCTTCTAGGAATAAATCCTAAGGAGAACTCGGTGAGAGGAATTTGGAATGACTACTGTTTCTGAATTTACTTGAATAAATCAATGATCTTTGTGCATATGACCCTTAACCACAATGAGAGAAAAAGATTATGAATCTAGAAAGTACCTGATCCAGGTGGTAGCAGGAAATATAAGGGAACAATGTGGCAGAGCAATGTAGGATAAGGATCCCACAGAAGAGCAGTTCCCACCATCAAACTGGATACACACATCCTTCATTTCTTTCCGGCTTGATGGAAGAGAGAATTTCATGTGGGTGTCATTTAGCACATGGCTAACCTGTATCCTAGAAAGGAGTAGAAAAAGAACTCTCACATGACACAGACACTTAGCACAGTTGATTACCCAAGGTGACAGCAGATGAATTTCACTTGAACTACAACACTTCATGAAGGAGCAGAATAGCTGCAGGCAACTACTGACTCATCAGGGGCCAATGACCCAAGTTGGGTATTATTAGGGGCTGGGTTCCTCTTTCTTTAGTACATTTTTATCTTTCTTATTTGCATTGCTCTCAGAACTGAGAAAGGAAAGAGGTGTAACCATTGCCTGGAAGAAGTACTAATAGAAAGCAGAACATGAACTGGGGGTCACAGTATATTAAGAATTACGGATAATTCTGTTGAGTATCATAATGGCATTATGCTTATCTGTTAGAGAGATACTGAAGTATCTAACAGTGAAGGATATGGTGTTTGGTTCTCATCATGCCCCGCCCCCCCCCAAAAACCCCAGATAAGATAGATGAAGCAAGATTGGCAAAATGTTGATAGGCTTTGAAACGGGGAATGGCTACAGAGAGGCTCATTACACTCATCTCTCTTGTATGTGTTTGAGTTTCCATAATAAAAAGCTTACGAAAAAAAGCCCTAGTCAAGCACTGAGAGGGTAAAATCCAGCACCAGACAGAGATGGAAATTCTGCCGTTCAAAGGGGGCCTAAACCAAGAGCCCAGGCATCTCAGAATCAATCAGCATTGGGGCCAACCTGCCCCTTAAGGAGTCTCCAGGCTGAGACTTAGCTGGGGCTGTCCAGGGTGCTCCCGACGTCCAACAGGAGCTGACGCTTGGCGCCCTTTCAGAGTCAGAGCGAAGCCTTCTCCAACATTCCCGCTGTCACCTGCAGCTTCCTCTGTGTGTCTACAATGACCCTCTAAAGCACAAATCATTAAGCCTGGGTTGTGTCTGAATAATGCTCAGTATAATCATGCTACATGAGAATCTATTATTACTACTTAAAGGCCATGTGCATGATGATTAACTTTAAAGCTATCACTAACCCTTTAGGATAAGGCAAATTCAAAAACATCTGAGTCAGTTTGTACTTACACCACCTCAAACGCTCATTTTCAGGTTTATATTCAGAGCAAAGCTCTAGGAAATTTATCATATAGTGGTTGAACATTAAAATTCAAACTTGTTTATAAATTTTAGAAGAAGAGAGGTGAAAATGTAGATCATTCCACTACTAGTATTTTTCTCTTTAAAATAATTACCCATTTTAAAAGTACTATATGAAAAGAGCTTGGGATTATAGCCTGGGCTCAGGTATAGGATTAATTGAGTATTATGTTGACTGCTTGTGAACCTGGGTTCACCACACAGATGTGGTTACGAAATGCTACATGCAGGAAGGTCTCCTAGTCATTTAATTTAATAACTGCAGTATCTCAAGACACATTCGGAATTAAAATGAGAACATAAAGAGTCAGAAACAGGGTAATGCTCTGAAAAACTACTTATTTTCCATGAAGTTGATTGCCTTTCAGTGAATACACAGGTGTCTAACTTCACAGATTTCGCTACACAAAATGAAAGATTTTTGCAATAAGGTATTTAGCCAGGATAAACAGCACACAAAAAAACCTATGTTGCATAGATACAGCCGCTAATGTGTGCTTGATAATTCTGGCAAATAGCAGAACACAGGCAAGCCACCGATGAGCAGCTTTTTTCATCAAGATCACAGAGATTCCAGATTTACTGCTACGAGGGGAAGGGCATGGCAGTGATGTGCAGAAAATGAATTAAAGCAGAAAATTCAGTAAATAAGCATGGCAGATTAGAATGCTGTACAAATCTGTTTTAGTAGTTAAAAATCAAAACATCACGCTTCAGCAGATTGTCTTAAATGCATTTCCATGATGAAAATAAGCTTAGCATTATACTCTATGTAGACTGTAACATCTTTTACTTCAAATTAGCCTAAACTTATACAAGTTAACAAGCAGAAAACTCAAATAATCTGTTGTGTTATTTAATGACTGCAGTTATCACATCTCTTCTTTTTTTTTTTGAGGGGGGAGTAACCATTTGCACAAGGACATTGGTGGAAATTGAAAATTCTTTCTCCAAGTTTCACCGATGGGATGAGTCTGGGAAAGAAGTGACAGAAATAATAATGTTCAAGAGATACACTGACCAGATATTTATGTTGGGGTGTTCTTTTTTTACTACCATTATATGTAGTAGAAATTTAATTTTTGGAGGCTGAAACCAAACCAGTAAAGAGAAGGCTACAAAGAACAAAATGTCCACATAAAAGGGATCCAAGAGGTTTTGTTTTTTCAACTTTGGGTGGCACATTGGAAGAGTTGCTCCAAAAAATTCCCCATCAAATTTCGAGGTACTCAACTATTTTTCCAAGTGCATCACCTAAAGAATGATGTTTACTACTCCATATACTTGATTTTGTTACTGAAAATGAATCAAGACCCAAAACAGGCAACATCCTGAAATGACTATATACTGAGATTTTTAGGGAATGACACAGAACAGAGTCTCTCACAATGAACTTCAGATCTGTTGTGAACATTATTTTATGTGTTGGAATTATGTTATGTCAAATACTCTGACTAATTGGCCTGCTTTGGTGCATGGCAATAATTTGACTATATAAAGGTTATAATCACATTGATATTCCCTTGGCACAGGTTTGAGCTTTATGTTACCCAGGATAAATTATTAGTATTTTGACTCACACATCCTTATCACAGGTACTGGTTCCTTTCAGGATCATTGTGATGTTCGATGCCCGGGTAAAGTTTGCTCCCGTTACTATCACGTTGCTTTTCCCTAATGTCGATACTTTCTGTGGCTCAATGGACTTAATGTAGAAGACCTATTGGAAATAAAAGATTAAAACAGGAGATCAAAGCTAAGAAATGGCATCACTCCAAAAAAAAAAATCTGTTTATGCGCTGCAGTTCGAAGAAATCACTGGGAAATTACAACATTTTGCAAACACAAGCAGACAGTGTTTAATGAAATCAATGAATTCAAGGAAGAGTGCCGCAGATTTATGTCTCTCAACATGTGACAGCATGAGGTCAAACCAATTAGTTTTTGTCTCACAAGACAGTTGAAAATACAGTTGAAGAGTCTGACATTCTGTCTGAAGAGCAAGGTATCACTAGAGTTTTCAAAATATTCACTGCCTTACAGCCTCTGGAGGCTCACAATGTAAGCAAAATCAAGGAAAAGAGGGTACATTGACCATAGGCCAATGACAGACTCATCATTAAGTTGAAATAAATGTCATTCCAGATAAATTTAATTCCCAAGAAAGCAGTTCATATTTTTGTTACAGTGAAGCTATTTCAATCCAGGAGGATACTGCAGGGGGAAAAACCTCAAGAAATCAACCTGTTCAGTCAACTAATATCAAGCAGTTGGATTTCTGAACCACTGTGGCCAACCATGGTTTGTAGATACCACAACCTCCTTCTTGGTATGCAGTTTCAATAGACTTTATCAGGCCTAAGGTCAAGACCATGTCCCTTGGAGTCCCTTGCTACCTAGCTTCATATCATGTAGGCAAATGCCACCTTACTTCTCCATTTGTGATGTCTAATCAAATTCTCCCTTAAAAAAAAAAAAAAAGCCCTTTATTTGATAGCAAGAATCATTTTCCCTTTTCAAGATAAAACAGTCCTGATTTCTTTCACTTTTCTGTTACAGATACTACTGTCTATCATTCTGATAATTTTACTGTTCTTTTGTAGACCATTTTCAGCAAGTCTGTATTCTTCTATAATATGGTGACCAAAACAGGACATAAGATTCTAAGACTCTAGCCAACAGAAAGTCCAGCAGATCTTCGGCAAGAGTGAACATCATTCTCACACTCTTTTTTCCCCCTATATCCTCTGCCATCACAGAACATACTCACAGTCTTGATATTTGAAAATGACCCCAAGGACCAGAGATGCTTAATCACATGACATTTGGTGAAATTCTAAATGCTGAGTGCATCCACTTGGAGGACCAAGTCCAAGAAGCAGCCCCTGAGCCACTGGGAGAAGTCCGTGATGTCCAACACCTGCCTAATACCTGCTTCTTGAAGCAGTTGAGTATCCTCTGCTCCTTTGTGCATGGAACACTCATCGGGGTGGCATTGCTGGACTGCAGGGGCTGCCCATCCTGCTGAAACAGACATTTTCTCATTCTGCTCCTCGGCACACACAGGTGCTACACGGCCCGGCAGTCCCCATCACTCATCAGCGCTTTGGATTGGTTTTGCAGATTGAGGTAAATTCATCGTTAATGTCATCAGAGCAATGATGTAACGTGACACAGAATTGATTTTGGTAGCAGAATTTATTTTAATCACTTTGTGAAGGACGTTAGCCCTGTATTTATAGAATCACTAAGGGCCTGAAAGGGTCACTTTAATTATTCTGTTATACTTGACTGCATTTTATGGGGGAAATTATCTGCTAGAGTGGTACTTGGAATGGGGGGATTAGCAAAGCCTTCAAGATAAATCTCTTGCAAATGTCAAGTGTGCGTTATATAGCAAAAGGCTTACTCTTCGCTCTCACATGGTGACAGCTAAGAGAACAAGTGTTTACTGAGCACCTACAGGGTCCTTAGGCCAGATGTTGTGGGGGACACATGATCTATGTGTGCACTAGATCAGGAGTTGGCAAACTATAGTCTGTGGGCCAGATCCTGCCCGCTACCTGCTTTTACATGGCCCATCACAAAATGTCAAAAGAAGAATAATATTTCATGACATATAAAAACACATGAAATTCAGATTTCACCCATAAACATTCGTCTGGGTAGTGTCTCTGGCTGCTATTCCCTGCAGCAGTCGAGTGGAGTAGCTGCAGCAGAGACCATACGGCCCGCAGAGCCTAAAATATTTACTGCCTGGCTCTTTGTAGAGAACATTTGCTGACCTCTGCTCTAGAGGCCACTGGCTTCTTAGGGGAGCAAGATAGAATTTTTTTTCTTTTTTTATGTAAACCTCAGTGCAGACTCACATTTGCATGCAAGTCAACTATGATTCTGAGGTTTCTTTTCTTTCTAGATAGTCCTTCCTGCTTCTTATATTTATACTGTTGATGTCTGCTCAAGAAAAATTTTCAAACATGCCAAGTAAATGCTACTTCTCCACTCTCTACAGAGGATAAAGAGAGCCTTACAACTAATGTAAAAAAGATTTTTTAAGGAAGTTATATTTTGCTCCTTAAATGGCTCTGCGAATACCATCAGAGGACTCGCCACATCATCCTATTAACTTTTTATTTCCCTGAGTGGAGACAGCCTTGCTACTTCAAAAAGATTTCAAACCCCTACTGTTTAGAGAAGTTTCCCTTGGCCGTCTAGGATGGGATCCAGCCCTGGCCTGTCTTGTGAAAGTGGGCGCTTCCAATCTGCTTTCAAACAGGGTCAGATTAGTTGTATTTTGTTTGCTGATAGAACCTCTTCTAATTTTAATAAATGGATTAAAGAGCTACCAGGAGGACCTTCCTAAATAAATAGTGCAGGTATAAAACAACATTTTAAAAATAAAAGATCGGGTTAGCTCTATGGCTGCACTGTATGGCTGCAACAATTCTTAGAAATATATTCTTTCTTTTTACCAATAAAGATTTTGAAAAATCCAGTACAGACAAAAGAGCAAAGAATCATCTCCCCATAAAGGTTCTACACATTCAATAATTTCGATCAATTCTGTATTTTTATCAAGAGGTTTTAATTCATAAAATCTAGCATATAGTAGCCAGCCCTACAAGCTTATACATTTCAGAGGGGGTTACTTTTAAAACATAATCGAGCTCAATACAAAGAGACAAATTCTTGCAGCCCTGTAGTGGGATTCCTCCCTCACCCTATGTCCAAGGATTTCTATATATCAAATCAAAATAGTGTGGACTATAACCAACACAGCCCTATGTTTTCCAGCAATTAACCTCAGAATAGTCTACTTCCTGTAGGTTACATTTTAAAGAATTCAGGGTTATTTTAAAACGGCTGCACAATTTGAACTTATTTAATAAACTACTATGAGCTCTGGTTTTTACTCCCTGTTTTGTATAAGAAAGCACATTAGAAACTGGTTAATTAGGAGATTTATAGAATACCCAATCCTTTTTATTTTTTATTTTTAACTAAGTCATTATAGGATATTGGAAATAGCACAACCACTAAGAAATAGCTATCTTTGAAAAGGTCTAAGAGGATTACTTCTGACAGTAAGAGTACCTTTTGTGAAGTCTGACGTCAACACAATTCAAATTACCATGACATTAATGGAGAAAATACTGCTATGATTGAAAAGAATATTGGAAAGAGGTGCATTAGGAGGGCTCAGTTTATTAAGGCCAAATTGTACTCTATTAATCTGTTACAAAAAATCTGAATAGAGCAAAGCTCTCTTTAGGCCTGGACCTGAATCAACACTCAGTAAAACATCTCTCGGATTTTCACTCGTGAAATTAGTTCAAACAGGACTAGATAAAAAGTCACATGGATTCAAAACCAGCTGGAAATCTGAAACCGAAGGACATTAGAGAGATGAAAGGTAGCACAACTAATTAAAGGAAAGAGTCCTGGAGGGCCCTACAGGAGTGAGTATTCGGTTCAGGATTATTTAACATCTCTATTAATGACTGAGAAGACGATGGAACTAATATATTAATGAAATGTACAAATTGATAAGAGTGGTAACCAGCAGTGGAAATGGGAAGGAGTAAAAGGAGGTGATATATGGAAAGAAAATAGCAAAATACAGGTTCACTCAAGAAAAATTAGAGCGTGAAATGGAACAAAATGGTTATCCATTTGATGCTTAACCCCTGGGACAAATGCCTTTTCACGGGGGCCCCTCGTACAGGTTCCAGGGAACTTGAGATGTGATTTCAGTTGGCCCTGGAAATGCCAATAGTGAGCTGTGCCTCTGGACACAGAGCTTGAGACTTCCAGGGAGAAGGTGACAGACCAATGCCCTGTGTGAAGAGATCAAGGCTCACTTCTCTGAGCCGTAGACTCTAAAAGGAGGCTGACTTGGCTGCCAAGCCCACCCTCTGAACAACCCACTATTCCTCTTTGCACTTGAGCCTTCTGAGTGTGGCTCCCCAGACCTGGACTGGGTGACCAAAACTCCAGGGCCAGGGAGGGCAGCTCTTCCCAGCCAGTGGAGGGCCCTGATTCCACTTTAAACCCAGCCCCTCAAAGTCCACCCCTTGGCCGAGATTCAACTCATGCATGAGATTCTTGCTGCTCCCCTCTCCCCAGGGCCTCAGTTGCCTCACTAAGCCTCTTCTGCTCTCCCTGTCTTGGAGTAGATGCCCAGCCATGTCTGGGTCTGACTCCTTCCCTCTGACCGCACCCTGCCCCAGCCTTTTCTCCCATGTCTTTGAGGTTAATACACTCCTCCCACATCCTGGCCAGGTTGGAGGTCTTACTCCCACCCTACATGTGTGGCATGGATTGGGAGCAGGCTTTGACAGTCTAATGCCAAGAGAAGCCAATATTAGAGTCCTTTCTTCCAGGCTGACTTTTATTAATATCATCAGTAGTATGGTGTAACCAATGTTTATATTCAATTTAGGGCATACAATGTAGGGTAATGGTTAAAACTATGTTGAGTCAGATTACCTGGATTCATATCTCTTACCTACCATTTACTCTCTCTGAGCTAAAATCTCCTCATCTATAAAATGGGGGAAATAGGTCCATTGTGAGGCTTAGATACTCTGAGCTCAGGGCATGGCACAGGCTCAGCAAATATTAGCTACCACTGTTCAGTTGAGTACATTCTGGCATTCTCTCTTATATCTTTTTCTGTTGTGCACATTCAACTGCTTCATGAAAATGAATCTTATTTCC